TACCTGCTACTGTCTTTCATGTGTAGCCTGTTATACTGCTTCCCTAGCATGTTTTGTTCTTCTTTAAGCATGTTATATTGTCTTTTTCTCTTTACTATACAGTGCCCTCTTACTTTTCTTTCACACTGCATGCTTAGTTACTCTGATACACTATGCCTTAGTTTAGGATAACCTAGTGGTTATGAGCATGTTCAAAACTAAAATTATACCAGGAGGTGCTACTACGAGGAGTTTGGAGCGAACATCGTGGGCAGCACGGCAAGGGATAACTTCAAGATGAATCTGCAGCAGCAAAACACATTCACATCACCTAACACTTTCTTTAGTTTAAACAACCCATAGGATCACTCTTTAGGCTTTTTGTACAACTCTGTTGTACAATTATAAGTCCTAACGGTTTAGGATTCCGAGATTACCGTACGGTATGGTGTAAATCCTCCTGTCTTTTAGGCTATTTGCACAGTCTGACGTTGTGCAAACATAAGTCCTAAATCTTAAATAATTTGCAGGATTGAAATATCAAATAAACATCATTTCAAAGATATAAAGCCGAACAATATGATAGTTGGGAGGTCACCGGGGGTTTTCCTAGATCTGTGATATCCCCTACTTTTCTTTTATTTGAATTCCTAAAATAATTGTTCCTATTTTGAGTCATTCCCATTTAACTTTCTTACGTCCAATCGTGAAAACCTAAACTTTGAAATCTTGAAAGCAAAACCACCTGATCTTAATCGAGAGTTTTCTTAAGTGATTTCGATCATTTAAGATATAATTAACTATAGGGGCTTGCCTCTATAGGGAACCAGGAACCCAGATAAAATAAACCCTATCTAATCTTTATGTTAGATAGGGGAACTTGTTGGCCTTTTTATAAAAATATTTCGCAGACCAAACGGATGTCACAAATTGTTTAGTCTAGATGATTGAATCCCTATTACAAAGTAATATATTTATTCTTCGGGATAAGTGTATTGCTTGTAGTATTGTGTTAAATCATCTAAGCTATTTAAAATGTGAGACTCGTTTGGTCTCACTTATTTTAAAAATTAAAAAAAACGTTACTTCTTTAAAAAGGTTATATTTATATTTAAATTATTTTCAAAATCACAAAATCATCACCGTTTTCAAACTACGAAAGTCAAGTTGAACATAAAACGGCCAACAGCATCATGCATAAGCATGCATTAGCTAGTGAGAAATCTGGGTGCTTATAAATTATGCAGCTTAGTAAATGATAAAGGAAAACATGTGATAGTCTGGTGATGGAAGCATTGACAAAATAAAGTCAATCTATGATAGAGCAGGAAATAATATAGAAAGCTGAGGAACAGCTTGTATCTTCATTTATGTATCTTCATTTATGATGACAGCAATCATAAGGAAGATGCCTTAGGCCGAAGTTCAATAATATCTTGTATATCAAGAGAAGACAAAATCACCTAGTGGAATAATCTCAGTCAACTTTGTAATTAATTTCACCATTAGCAGCTTGCATTGCATTTGTAGCTTGCTTAACTTTGGAAGGTTCATTCAATAGCATTAAAAAGAGACAAGTGGTTGACAATAATTACTAAATTTAGGTAAGTGAAACTATTTAAATTGCTGATTAATATGGAGTGAACAAATGAAAATTCCTTCAATATTTGGGGTTGATTGGCAGGAAATTGAATAGAGTGATTGTGGAACTATGGCTGGAAATATGTGGGGTGGATGGGTTTTATGCTTAGAAACTCCTAATATTTAATCAAAATTGATTAGAAGACTTTAAATTAAGCCATGAAAGTGAGAGAAATTATGATAACTTACATTTACGTTCGGTAAGAGAGTCAATAAGAGCTTATGGGTTGGTTTAGAGTGGTTCGTAAACTCACTTGAACCATGATACGCCTGGTTCCCTTTTATGAAAATCACCATAGCCATGTGCCTAACGATATCTTAATAAGATGTCTGCCTCATAATGTATGAGGCATGCCACCTTATTGGTAACAATGGATATTTTTTTCTTTCCTAAACCTAAATTTAGGGTTTTCTAAAAAAGTTGGAGAAAAAGAAAAATGTAAAACAAGAGATAGAAAAGACCTGACATAAAAATATCTATACAAGAGATATTGGAGTGAAAAAACATTTGCTTATCTAATGCACAGCTACTCTAATAAGATTGTTAAGATTTTGTACTTAAAATGAAAGACCGTCTTACTGTTTCTTGTGAAAATGTTGAACCATTTGTTAAAATGCCTGATTAGGAGAAAAGAGACTCATGTGCATATAAAAAAGCAACAATGTCAAAATTTTTAAAGCATCGATAGGTTGATGATAGAATGGATAGCAGATCCTATTAATGTAGCAGGTTAGTGGGCAAAGTTTTCTTATCCTCTTTGCCAAATGTTGAACAGAGGTGAACAAGGCCCATAAACAAATGCATGATAAATGTGAACCATAACAAGAATTATGGCGTGAGGGTAGCTCATCAAATGTGCCCTCAAAATGTAAGAAAGGCTTGCAGGCATGTTTACATGGGCATCAAAAGTTTTTTATATATATAAATCTGTTTTATATATAGATTCTTAAAAGCGAGGCCTTAAACCTCCATCTATGTATAAACTCAGAATTTGAATAATGAAGAAGGAACTGAATAGCAATGCTAAACTTCTTGAGCTTAAAAAAAAAAAAAAACTGGACAAATATTGAAGATAATATCATGTTTAATGATTCGTTTGATATTACCACTTTTTAATTAACAAATCCAATGATACTATTTTTTAAAGCATGTTGAAGTATCATATGAGTTGAAAATTTCAGAGCAAAATTTTAGAGTCAGTGATGGAGTCATAGACAAAATTAAAGGACATTTAGTGATAAAAGTTGTTGCTAACAAATCTACTGCTGATAAAGTGGCAAAAAATAAGTTGGAGTAAAGAAAATCACATATATTGGAATCCATGAATAACACATTGCATAGAATTAATTCTCGAAAAACTTGAAAAGTTGTATTAACATAGGAACGCCTTAACCAATGTCAAGATGATTAAAAAAGAACATATCAACATAGCCATCATTTTAAACTTAAGTTAATATTCTTATTTGTTTTTATTAATTAGGAAAGCATATAATTGAGGATGAGATAGGAGAACAAACAAGTCATTATGATAATAATTCTAATGTATATCAATTAAATGATGAAAGTGTTGGAGACTTTTGAATCTACAGATTCTAATTTTATTAGTTTAGTTCACTTGTAAATGTTGAGTTGTGAGTGGAGGATACTTAATGTAATGAACTTTCCTTGACCTATTATATTATTACTTTGACATCATACTTTGATTTGTATATATCCCTTCTAACTTGATGATTAGATGTTAAGATGATATTATGGCCCTTCTAACTTCGTACTTTGATGCTAGTATGGCACATTTTAACTTTGCATAATTTATTGATTTTAATGCTTATGTCTCACCTCACTAATACAAAATATCTCAATATGGACATTGCCATGCTCAAGGTCATGATCTAGCTTTCCTAACAATTAAGGGCACTCATTATTTTCGTTTAACATTATATAGATGACTATTATTTGTCAAAATGTTGTTGTTTGTGTTAGTGTTATAATAATTATAAACATTGCAATTCAAAAATAACTTACATTAATAATCATACATAAAGTCCAAATTATTTTAAAAGAAAAATAGTGATAGCATAAGAATGAATCAAAAAAGACATTAAGAAATGAGAAATTTATTTTTGTTTGTTTTGGGGAACTATTTGGTTGCCTGAAGTTAGAAATTAAGTTTTAGAGAATGGTACTAGATAGCACTATTCAACTAGATGCATTCGAAAGTTAATTTTCCTTTAAAACTTTACAAAAACTACAAAAAAACACTCTCAAATGCGATGATTTCATGTTTACATTAAAAATAAGTTAAAAACATCACTTCCAAGTACGTGCATTACATCTCCAATCAACCAAATTAGCCCAAAGCATAGCATAACATTATACATGTCTACCAAACAAACAGCCCCTTTACGAAATTCACAAAAAAAAATAAAAAATAATAATAATAACCATTGAATATGCCGTCCAATTCTCGACTCCACCAAGATCAAGTATGCCCAACAAACTATAACTTAACGGAGTAAATGAACAATTAACACAACCACTCAAAAGAAGAACCCTAGAACATCATTTTCTAGGAGAATGCAAGACATAACTACTTAAAAACTCTAGATTTCCTATATCTAGAAGAGCCAAGGCAGATCTCGGCTGAATTAACCCACACACCCTGTATATTCGATCAAACGCAAAGAATGGCTTGAAGGACTTACGGGGCATCCTATGAAAGGAGCATGCTTGGGTAGGCAACGAAAGATGAGAAAAGATGGCGCTTTTTCTCCGTCCGTGGAAACACAGATTCTCCCTCCTGTCAAGAAAGCCGATCTCTTCTGCAATTAATCTTCGCGTCTAACACTTGGTGAGGAAATCGAGTCGGCCTCACCCAGAGATTGCTTCGAGCCTCCAGAATAGAATCGAGGAGGTCCGCGGTCGGGAATCGTAAAATGGGGGCCTTAATGGGTTAACTATCAATGATTATTTGATCATTATAGGCTACATATGGGTACTGTGTAGTTATTTATTATGGTCATAGAGTATAAATTGAATGATAAGATTAATTTCATATGATTTTGTTAAAAGTATTATGATTTTTATAAAGTTGTTAGGGTCGTTTGATTTACGTTAAATGGGCAGCTTAGGTCAAATTATAAATTAGAATTAAGCTGGTAAGGAATAGATGAGCATCTTTTATTAGGATAATTGTATTAATAAGTTTAATTACTATGTGTAAATAAAACTTTGACTCTATATGTATGTCTCACAATACTTTAAATTAGAAGAATTGATCCATATTTTTATTCGCGCGCGCGCGCGTGTGTGTGTGTGAGTGAAATTTCTAACATAACTTATGATGTCCGAAGATTTGCAGTGTTAGAGTAAAAATTTAGTATATGAAATTTCTAACATAACTTATGATGTTCGAAGATTTGCAGTGTTAGAGTAAAAATTTAGTGTCTTAGTGTTGGATGAAAAGCCAACATGCATATAAATAAAAGTGAAATAAACATGAAGAGACATCTCAATTTATTACATGGAAAATAATTGCTTGTCATTTTATTTTAATTTATTATGCCTTATAGAATCATTTTCATATTTTGCTCAACACAACTAAAATCTAGTCTTTTCTTTTATCTATAACATAATTTGAATAATACCTGTGAATTCTAGATAATATCTACAGGGGTATTTCAGACATTTCGCCACAGACAATACTTAAAATTTTATTTTTCAAACAAATTAATTACTTTTGAAACACTAGCTTTTGAACAGTTGACCTTTTTACAGTAGCTTTTGAACTGAGATACAGTATAGTCACAACAAAAAACAATCACACCCTTAGAGCAAATATGCAAAACAGTTTTTAACTTTCAACATTGCATAAGAAGTAGAGATCAAGAGAAAGAACGCTATAGAATTTCACATTTACTTGTGGGTTGTGATTAAGGTTATGAAGTTTCCTTTGTCGTAGCAGTTCGTCAGATGTTGATAGCATCTAGCAGGTGATATGCTCATGAATGCTATGAACTATAACCAACCAGGTCACCATTGGTATGTTCTACAAGGAGAAAATTGTTAAATTAATCCCTGGACTCTTCGTAGGGTGTCATTTTGGTCCTAAACCAAACTCTTTTAATGTGGGTTAAAATAGTCCACCAAAAGATAATTTTAACCTCGATTGAAAGAGTACGAGACTAATTTAGCACTAATATATTCTAGAACTGATACAGTACCACTGAACATATAGACCCTCTCAAGGGTAATACAATAAATAAACATTAATCTAATTAATATGCAGGTGAAGACCTAGAGGTCCCCAATTTGTCCATTTGGTGAATAGAGGAGATGAAGACAACTTTTTTTTCATGTTCATAAGCTTATCACAGACAACAACTATTTGGTCTCCTCTGTTGCTCTTGACTTTTGTATCAATAATTCGATAACAAACCAAACAATCCTCAGGTGGCTTGTGCCACACCTCCTTCTGTCGAAAACAACACACTCCCGCTCTACCAATTCTTCACTCACTGCCTTTAGTATCGATATCAAGATCATCCTAACAATCATAACCTTTTAATTATTAAAAAAATGCTAATGTACTCCCTTTAGTTGTACTTCCTATAACCTCTACAATTCCGCTAAAAGCCATCACGTCCCATTATCCAAACCCAACAAACATATTACAAGCCTTTAGAAGTTACACCCTAATGTCTAGAGGCCATCCCCAGATATCTGGACTTAATTGATACATATACTATACCTTATTTTATGATTATTTTTCTCCTTTTTTGTTGGGTATCCCCTATGCTCATCAAATTTGAAATGTCACAAAAATTTATTCACTTCAAACTGTGATTAAAATCAATCTAATAGTTGAGCTTCTCCATCATGATAGTGGTGGCGAATAATACAAGAGAATCTCTTACAATTTTCTAACCATTCATAATTATGCATTAATATGGTTGACCCTATAGTGAAGAGAAAATATTGTAGCAAGTGCAAACATCATCATATCATTCAAACAGCTCGTAAACTTCTTCATGAATAAAATGCATAGCTTCCAAGACCATCACTATGAATACCTATAACGCTTTATACAAGTCTCAAACATACTCACACTTCAAAATCTTTGCTTCCTTTGGCTCCAACCACAAGCACCTGACAAACCTGTCTCACGATCATCTCATTATATTTTCATTTGTTATTGATCATCCAACAAAGAATATAAGCACTGCAAAAGGTAAGATAATCATCTCAAGTCATGTTCTCTTTAATGAAACAATCTACCACTTCTATCATTAGCATCTTCCCACATCCACCACATCTCACCCCTCTCACTCTAATTCCATATTTCAACATCTCAACAAACGACTCACTATATCATAATTATATTGTCCTCAGTAGTTAACAACTGCACCCAAACCCAATATTTGCTTATAATAACTCACCCATACATGATAGGCAAGCTCATCAACTCAAAAGCCTATCATCACTTCTTTCTCACAGCATAAACTTATTATGGTCTTTAATGACCATCGATATGCTCGCCAGACTTAAAAAAGGGCCCCCTAAATCCTAAATAAATCTTCAAACTATCTCACAATTTACAACTTCACCTAGCCCAATATGTTACACTCAAGATGTCAAGGATCTCAAATATAAACAAGCAATGTCTCAAAAATTCTACACCCTACAAAAATACAGATGTAGATAGTCATACATTGTCCTCAAATTACAATTTTTTGAATGCAAGGCTTCTAAAACCAAACTCAATTATAGTGGCATCATTGCTAGCCACAATCTCACTTAGTTGCACAATAACGCAAGCAAGAGATATAAATGAACCACACAATAATATTCAACTAGTTGATAAAATACCTGACATCTGAGTTCTAGTCATAATGTCTATACACTATAGCTAGCATATTCATTAGCTTGATGTCTCAATAGATGTTATATGCACCAAAGTCTTGAATTCAGAGACCCGCAATAGCTCAATCATGTATGCTTATTAATGAAAGCAAATTACAAGCTCAAATAGGGCCCAACTAGTGCTTTTCCATCTTCTCCAAGCATCGATTGCAATTGGGTCTCCAATTCAGCACAAAGCAAAACTAATTCAAGTTTGGATCAACTTGTGTGAGATTTGGATTGGACTTATATCAATTTAAACTAAAATAATTAGACTATTTGATTATTAATAAAAAAAGCACATAAAATTGTAAATATTGCTAACTTTTTTAATTATGTTTATTCAGAGAATCACATTCATTTTGAGCTGGGTTGACACTAACCCATTACAATTTAAATGTTTTCCATGTCAGGTTGGATTGGGTTTGAGCTTGATTGTGTAAGGTTCCGGTTAAGATTATTTACCCATGTCATAAGTAGGTCTGGTTGAGGTAGATTGTATTCATGTCGGGTCATGTTCAAATCAGACTCAAACTTGACCTATAAACCCAAATTGACACCTGTAACAACAGACTTGTCTTTTATCATAGCATCATTATCAAACAAGCATATATCTACTAACATACATTGCTGCTAATCTCACCAATGGCAACAAAAACAATGATCTCTTGGCTCTCATCCAAAACGTACACACTGCATTCAACATAAAACAATTGGGACTCCTTTCATTCTTCCTTAGCATTCCAAAAACTTCAGCACCCAAGAGATTCCGACTGAGTCAAAACAAGTCCTTCATCCAAATATTTAAAAAATCAAGCATCGCCAACTACAAGCTTGCTCTCAATCTATATCTTCCAAACAAACAGCAAATAGTGACTCAAACAGTGAATATGACAACCCCACCTCATACATACACGACACAACTCCCTTTAATAACTTAAAATCACCTGACCCAACATATCCTCCATCGTAAATCAGTTCTACCAAGTACCAATATATGAATCACCCTCTTAGCTGTCATTTTCAACTTCTCAAATGGTTACTTTTATTGTCTCATAGAGACGACAATCTTAGCATATCAATTCAAAAAAAAGACTTACTTTTAAACAACTACTTGGACTACGACTAGGGAATTCTCATGACAGAAAATCAGCAATAGCTTTTCTCATATCTCGGCAGCATCTATTTCCAATGGAGCGTCAAAGAGCAATATATTGTTGTTATGCTGCCTGCGAAAACAAAATACAGAGCTCGTCTTCACCACGACAGGCAAAATCTAGCCTCACTGCCTGATCCATGGACTTTATATATCGATAATTCAACCTAGACATCTCTACTATAACAACATTTTCACCATGACACAAGCTAATAATCCAGTCTTCTGAGGAACACATTAAAATAGAGCACCAATTCCATATTTTTATATCAATAGATAATGAAAAAAAATGACACACTTCAATCTATTAAATAATCAGTTCGAAATAATGCATGCACATTAAAAATTTATGCAGCACTTCTATTTTAATGAAAATTAATGTTTTCATGTTATTTAAAATGAAAAATATTTTTAATAGGCTATGTTCATATGAGTCAAAAAATACATTTTGCTGTGGAAATAAGCATCGAAAGAAGAATATCTTATGCCAACCTTATTAGGATGGGAGTAGTATTTTTCTTGAGCTGATTTCAAAGAGCTGAAACTTTCATAAGCATAAACATAAAATTGAAAAAGGTTTTTTTTTTTATGCAGAATTAATTCAACATGGTATTAACATCTCTAGAATGCATTTGATTGAATTAAGAACAACAATAATTTACAGAAAAAAAATGACAAAGATTGTCAGTTCAACGGTCCTTCATGATTTCAACATTATAACATTATATGCATTAACAAAATTGGAGTAGGTTTCCGAAGTAAATAATTTCTTCCCAATTTCTCTATATACAATGTGCTGCTCCACTGTTTCAACGAGATTAAAATCTCAGAAGAAGTCAATAAAAATTTCATTTTTTTGGTCAAACATCACACGCAAAAAAGACTTCTCTAGGAATAAACCCAAGTACAACCAGGGATCTTCCTCAACCCCCTCAATTTCATCACATTCCTTACCTTTGAAACATCAGCCCACCTATCATCCGCAGCATAGATATTCGACATCGACACAAAATTCCCTGCATTTCGAGGTTCTACCTCACTAAGGCTCGATAAAGCTATCTCCGCAAGCTCCGTATTGCAATGCATCCTACATGCTAACAAAAGCGCACCCCAGACACCGGCGTGAGGCTCCACCGGCATAGATTTCACAAAATCATACGCCTCTTTCAACAAACCCGCCCGCCCGAGAAGATCCACCATGCATGCGTAGTGATCATTAGAAGGAGTAATGTTGTACACATCCTTCATCAACTTAAAATACTTACTACCCTCTTCAATAAGGCCAGCTTGGGCACAAGCAGTAAATATCACCGTGAAGGCGACATTGTCCGGGATGATCCCTTCTCTGAGCATTTGATCGAATAGCTTGGCCGACTCAGCTCCAAATCCATGTATAGAATATCCTTGCATCAAGGAACAGTAAGAGACCAAGTCCCTGACCTGCATGGAATCAAACAGAAAGACGGCTCTTTTCATGTTTCCACATTTGGCATTCATGTCTATCAAGGCAGCCAAAACATGAGGTTTGCTGGCATCGAGAGGGATCTGCTGAACATATTGATCGACCCACTTGGCGATACTCGTTCTACCCAATTGTGCGCAGGCCGACATCAATCCGACCATAATGACTTGATCAGGTTTGATTTTTCTATTATGCATTTCGAGGAAAAGCTTGAAGGCCTCAATGGGCTGGCAGTTCTGCGCGTAACCAGAGATCATTGCTGACCACAGAAAGACATCTTTGTTGTCCAGTTGTTCAAACAGGAACCTGGCAGAAGCCATGTCTCCGGCTTTTGTGTACCCGTCAATCATTGAAGTAAAGGAAATCTCATTCCTTTTAGGCATATGATCGAAAACCTTCCGTGCATTCATCAAATCTCCGGCCTTCACATACCCATCAATCATTACATTCCAAGTAACTAAATTCCTCTCAGGCATTTCATCGAACAGAAGGCGGGCGGCCAGTAGATTGCCGGAAATTAAATAGCCTGCAATCATGGCGGTCCAAGTAACCTCATTTCTTCTATATATCCGGTAACCTCATTCCTGCTGGACATCGTGTCAAATAACTTCCGAGACGCATCAATCTGGCGACATTTGCCATAGAAGTCGACAAGGGAGGTGCGGATGAAGAGGTCGTCCTCGAGCCCGAGGTGCAGGACAGCAGAGTGGAGGGAGGCGCCAAGGAAGAAAGCGGCGTGAAAAGAACAGGCTTTGAGGAGGCAGGGGAAGGAGAAGCCATCAGGGTGTTGGGAGCGGCGCATGAGGTTAAACAGGGAAACGGTGTGAGAGAGCGAAGAGAGATTGGAGGAGGCATTGAGGAGGGCGTTCCACAGGATGACGTTGGGCGAGGAGACGCGAAAAAAGACTTCTGAGGCATAACGTAGCGCAAAATGAGAAGTGCAGAGGACGATAAAGCGGCAGACGAGGACTTGGTGCTGCTCTAGACCCTTGCGGATAAAGTGAGGGTGGATTTGCTGGAGGGATCGAAGACTTCGGCACGAGAGAAGAAGAGAAGCGACGGAGGGGGACGAGGGAAAGGAGGCGGTGGTAGGAAGGGCAGCTGCTGAGGAAGAAGAAGATAGGCAACGGTAGCAGCAGCGGAGGGAAAAGATCATAGGGCGGAGGCTCGCTTCGGCTCATGGACGGGAAGGAAGGATTAGGCTCGGATCTTGAAGAGCACAGGTCGGAGTTTGTTGGTCTGCTCTTTAACTCTATATTAATCAAGGGATAAAAACAAATGGATCATTTCCTGAAATATTGATTCAGGTGATCTTTTTAAACTATTGAATGGATATATTTGAAACAATCAAAATATTGAGAATTTGATAAAGATGAAAACTATGAAAAGAGTAACTTAGCCCGCTTTAGCTAATGCAACTATTAGAGGAAGTCATCATGCAAATCCAATCACTTTCATTTTTCATCGAAAGAGTAACTTAGCCCGCTTAAGCTAATGCAACTATTAGAGGAAGTCATCATGACCACCAAGGAGAAGGCGGCGCAAGACATTTAGGATTCGTTCTTTCAACTCAGGTTTCGAGATGGTTATTGTAACCACAATATTTGCGAATGTAATACCTGACATCAGTCGATAGTGCACTGACATTCACATCACTTTTTTCAGTGAAATAGCTGAGAAGAGGCATCATTTAGTGTGAAATGTACTACTTTGTCTATTTTATGGATATCTTCATTTATGTGTAAAAGGAGAAGGAAAAATAGAGGAAGGGGGTCTTCATCTCTTTGGATCCTCCTCCTTTCCTCCATCTCTCGAGATCGAGATTGCTTTCGATCTCCATTTCTTACATCTCTTGCTCGCTCTTTCTCTTGAATCCCATAACTCATGGAATCTCCGAAGAGGTGCTTCGCTTAGGTTTGTCAAAGAGTTGGAATTAATATCTTTTCTAAATTTCCTTCAATAGATTTTCATATCTCTCCCTACCATTCAAAGTCTATTGGGTTGTATGTACTTATGAACGATATAAGACCTTATTTCCTAAAAGATTCAACATACACTAAATAGCAAAATAATATTTATTACATCAAATCAATAGAAATTACAATCATAAACTAATAAGAGAATAAAATAATTTGATAGAACTTGCTATAAAAGATAAGAGATAAATTTGATTAATCAAACTCAATAAATAAAAAAATATTTATTAAAACTAAAGTAGTAAGAAATTACGGTATGCAATATAAATCATAAAAATGAACGATATAATACATACACTAGCAGAAAAATATATGCCATCAACCAAAGTAATGTTGCAATAGAAAAGAGTTTTAGACGTCCAAACAATATAGATTTTAAATATGCTTATGATCATGAATAGAACAAATTTTAATCATGTACCATTATGTGAACAGTTATACACCACAATATCATATATATTTATATATATTTACTCATGTCTCTTCAGTCATTTATCTCTAGCTGATAATAATATACATAATTCATCTTCAAATAAAATAGTTAAAATATTATTTATAGTTAACTATTTAAACAAAATAATTAAAAATTTTATTTTAAAGTCAAATTTAAGTTTATTAAATATCCCTTTCAAAAAAACTTTATTTTTCAAACTAAAGTTTTGCAAATTTTGGGCTGATAAATTTTTTAAGTTATTTTCCTAAAAGTTCAAGTCTCTTTTGGAATCAATTTTTTTATTTTTATTTTAAAAAAATAACTTATTTTGACCATTTTTACAAATAATTTGATTCATTTTCAATATAATAAACATGTTTTGCTAAAAAATCAAAACATAAATAAAACAAAAAAAAAAAAAAAACAAAATGAAAAGCAAAAATAAAAATCCATCCCCAATAACCTCTTAATCTATAGAATAACTTTTCATTATCATGCTCATCATCCAATATTCTAGCAATGCAACTATGTTGGTGATTTTTTAATCCATAAATTTATATTTTTCATTATCATGATTTTTTTAATCTATCATTTATATTTTGTAGAAAGTACATGTAATAATAAGTTCTTCTAAAGCATTTCTACAACTTATTACAACATCCGAAAATAGAATCTTAAGAATAATAATATGAATTATATAATAGTTACATTTTAGATGAAATTGTTATTTTATAATCATAATTAAATCATTTGCTACAATTGAATCCAAAAGTGCCCGGAAACATACCAAAGGAATAAAACGTTATGCTAGAAAGTGATGAGAGAGAGAGAGAGAGAGAGAGAGCGAGAACAAGAGAGAGACAGAACACATTAGGGGACAGTAAAAGAGTATCATTTATTGATGACATCAACTCTTATTTATAGGCAAAAATCGCAGCATTACAAAAGTATATATTGGGGGGGGGGGGGGGCTTTTTGCGAATTTAAGAGGTTTATCAAATTCGAAAATTACAGATTTATTCACATATAACAAAACTAGGGACAAAAGAGAGCCTTCCATCAATCGCCTCGAGGACTAACCCATGTCCTGCGGAACATCTGCTGGCACATTCCACCGATCGTTCGGACAAGACGCCTCCCTTGCCAACATCTAGTTCAAGACGGTCGTCAACAACTATGCCCGATCGTCAGTATCATCCTCCTCAGTCGTTCATCTACCTTAAGATTCGTGCTGACATATTTTCCCATGTTCAACTACATTTATTTTAAAACTCAAGATGACATGCACAATGGAATACAATGAATTTGAATTCAAATTCAAAATTGAGCCATGTCATGGTCAAATAGTGCACCAATTGCAATCATTTGGAGACATTAATATTGATGTAGAATATATAAAGATATGAATTTGGATCTCCTTTGATTGCTTAAGTTTGTATTTCTCTTATAAAAAAGATGCACTATTAGTGTTTATGTACCTAAATTTTAAAAAGAAAAAAAATGTGATAAAAAGTTGCAACTATAATGACTAATGATAATTTTAAATGTAAAAAGACAAATATGTAAATAAGAATATCTACATCCACCAAATAATATAATTCCCATCAAATAAGTAAACTTATTAATGATACACTTATCAAATGGATAACTCTCAAGCACCAAGATCTGTCCACTCCATTTAACTTTTCTTTTACCACTCAAACCTGTCACATTGGAATTTTCAATCATGTAAAATGAAGAAGAAATTAAAGGCTGTATTTCAGTGTAACTTTGATTTAACTCTTCAAGTTGTGCATGTTTTAACCTTCATGATGAAGCATCAAATCTTAATGATATTTTGATATAATGTATATATTTGAAAATACTATTTACTTTTATATTACATAACCTAATAACTCAACACATGAAGATCATTAAAAGTAATATAAATGTGGTCCAACTAATTATCTAAATTGAACCACTCTATGGATTATGATATCACCAATGGTAATTAGACAAGCTTTATTTACTTTTTTTTACTTTGATTACTTGGTACAAAAATTTAGAAAAAGATAATAACACACACACACGCTCTCTCTCTCTCTCTCTCTCTTTCGCAAACATAAACTAAAACCATAAGTTAATAATGTATAGACAATCAAAAAATATTTTTAAAAATTTAAATAACCCTTTGAATGGTACATACAATCACAATCATATATACAATTCTCAAAAAATCATTTTGATATGATTACTGGTAAAAATTTTATTATAATATTTGTTGTTGCCTTACTTTGGCTGTTAATATTATTTTTATCAAAAATATAATAATAAATTTGATATAAATTTTGCATGAAAAAGATTTGTTCTACCACAAATGATTTGATGAGGACACATATGATCATTTAGGGGTTGTTTGAAATCACATTTAATATATTCTTTGTACTTTATTTTAATTTTTTTTTATATATTGATTTAAAAGAAGCATGTTTAAAGTTAATTGTTTTTAAAGATGCTGAAAAAATTTAAAAATTATTTTGAATCCTTTTTTAAAATAAAAGAAAAATATGTAAGAAAATATATTAAACAAAAATTCATTTGAAGATAAAAGTAAAAATAAAACAGAATTAGTATAAAATTGATCTTAAAAAGGCCCTCGGACATTAGATTTTTTTGGTGAAATTTGATATAACGCCTATGTTCACTATGGGTTGGCAATTAGAAATGATTACAACATATTATAAGATATAAATTATAATCCCACCATCTAGAAATGTTCACAAGAATAATTGAAAATCACAACTTGTCATTTTAAGTTCATTTTCGCATTCACTCAAAAGCCTTTCATCTTCCTCCATCCCTCACTCCCTCCCTCCCTCTTTATCTCATAGCCATAGGTTTTTGCTTATAAAATTTTAAAACCATAGTAATCTATGTAAAGGAGGGATTAAAGTGCCAATTTTTTTTCACTTTTTGGCATAACCTTGCTACATGTATTAAAGTACCTTGCCTCTTGCCTTTAAAGAAAAATATTAGGTTTCTCCATCTATTGAAAGAGGTTTATTTGCATGCTATTCAAACTATATCGGACTATTAAAATTATCAAGTATCAATTTTGATTTATGGGTTGGGTATGAGTTTGACCTAAATTTTACATGACCATAATATGCTTGGGTCAAACTTATCCTTGGTTAAACATATTTGGATTGAACTCACCTAATATAAATCCCACCTATTTAGTCTATTTATTATGTAGATCAAGCAATTTATGTAAATCAATATTACTTAATTAACTCAAAATTGACCTATAAATATAGCCCAAATTTGGATCCAAACTTAAATTATATTTGGATTAATATTGGATTGATATCAAATTATTCACTAAATAATAATAAGTGTTACAGTTTTGACCTAAAATATATTCAAAAAAATAATCAGATGAACTTGAACCTTTTTTAATATTTTAATTATTTATTCACATCTGTAATTAAAACTCTTAAAAAGGAGATCACACAAAATAGTTAAAGCTTATTGGGGGCAAACTAATATTGATTTACATTGTTGATATAGTTTGATTTTTTAAGATTTAAGTTTATTCTCATTATTTATAATCTTTTGTAGTTTTAAATTATATATTCTTTACATTATTTAGTACACACTCATTAATCCTAAGATATTTTCAGGGAACAATGAATCCAACTCATTGCTTTGTGACATGGTAACCTTTAAGTGTTACTAAAATGAAGGGCTCTTGATTACAAGACTTAACATTCTCAAGAGAAGATCCTTCAATGACAAACTTTGGCATCAATGATGCATTTAAAAAAAGTTACATTATCAATCCCATATTATTTATAACTCCACTTTTACTTATGAAGAATATGGATGCCAACATTTTTATAGTCCCACGAAATGCACATGTGACACTTAGTTGAGACACATTAAAAATATCAATCTGAGATGGTTAGTGAAAATTTAATTTAAAGCATGATAAATTTTAGTTTTTTTTTTTTTTTTTGCATTTAGATTTGATAATTACATGAGAGCATCAATGTAAAAAAAAGTTTAAAAAATATGTGATAAACTTATTGTCATGTATGAAGAAAATAATAAGGTTTATTAATACCACATTAACATGATCAAATTATGAACATGAAATATTACAAACACAACTTGTGACACTATGATGATCAGGTTTTCTTCACAACCTTATATTCTCTTGAAAAAAGTTAAATCAAGAAAAAGTTATTAAGATTTTAATAGCCTTTATTAATAATGAGAAACCATTATAGAGGCCAAGGACTTGTCAACTTATTATATTAACTATCTCTTGAGCTTCCTTATTACTCTAGAGCATAATTTATGACAAATGAATGAAAATGAGCCAACACAAAAGTTTAAAATACTTGCACCTGATTCTACACAAACATATTACATAGACAACACTTGAAATATTGCTATTTACAAACCTATCACTCAAAAGATTTAGCTGAATTGCCACTGTATGATGCATTTACACATGTTCACCATTGAAAATTTTATAAAAATGAAAAATATAGGTTTGATTTTGATCATAAGTTTTGATATTTGAGTGAGAATTTGAAAGTTATATGAAAGAGGCAACTTGATTTTTAAATAACATTGTTTTAACAATTACTCTCATTACACTCTGCAATTATTCGCTATTGTTACATTTTAACAATCAAAACTTTCTAATCTTTGAACTTTTTAGCTACTGATATTAACCCCCCTCACTAACTCATAAAATCATCATAAACATTTGTTTAATATACAAAAGTTCATACCACAAAAAAAAAATGCTGGTCCAACACAAGGATTTTATAGTAGATCATCCATCTTAAACTATCTTCCCTCAAGCACATTTAACTGCAAAATGCTGATTAAATTATCATAAACATTGATAAGCCAACACATTTAGGAAACAAGAAGATAACATAATCTAGTTATACACAAAAACATCACAAGAAATTCAGTAAGAATCTTAGAAGTATTCTTCAGTCCTCCCCTTGAAGCCAATCTGCCCAAATGTGAGGCAAAGGAAAAGCCCAAGGTGCCATGTGATTAACCACAACCTACAATATATTAATCAAGTCCCAGTAAACTCAACCAGCTAGATTACACTAAGGAGCTATCTGGCAACGGATTTAAGATGGGATTTAAGCAGGATTTAAGCGAAATCTTGCTAGACTGTCATGCTATAAATCTGAATTTGACAGATTTTAGCCGTAAATCCCGAATTGAGTAAATCCTATGAATCAGTGGATTCAACTTAGCGCGCTTCGAATGTAAGGTGCGGCTTGTTAACCGACGCAGCATAGCTCTATAACTACCAAATAATTTCATTGGATTTCAAGGTTTAATTACTAAATCCGTTGCCAGACAATCTTCCAGATTCAAGCCATTCTAGAGTTAGTAAATCCAGAGATTCCAGATTTACTAAATCCTAGTAATTTAACTCTCATATGTTGCGAGACAGAACCGAAAATTCTCACAAACTGATCACTACTCACCAGAACTGAGAGGTGAGTGCAGGTCCAGTTGGCCAGTGAGCAAGCTCATCTGCAATGCTTTTGAAGAATAGTCCAGTCAGGCTGTTTCCGTTGATCGCCGGAATACTCGACGGTGCAAGCCAACCAATCAAGCCAAAACCAATCACACTGAAATCCGTTCGAAGCCAGTTTCTCTCAAAACTAGCCTCACCCAAAGACAAACAACATATTAGAGCTCATCAGCAATATATACCAGCTGAATATACATTTATGTACTTACCAGGTGAACTTTCCACCTGAAGCAAGTTTCTGGCTTAAGGGATTCCTTATGGCAACATGAGGCCTTATGAAGCCTATGAAGTTTCAGAAGAAGAGAAGAATTATTGTTAGCTAGTAGTGTTAGCAGCAGGAAATGAGTAGAATTTTTTTACCTGATTGGTGAGATGGCTTTGGGGAGCGGGTTGGGAGGAAGGGAGGGGATTTAGCCAAGCCTGCAATAGCAGTTGAGGTTGCCATGGCTGCTCTCTGCTTCTATTCAAAATTGAGTTTTTTTTTTTTTTTTGGCTGATTCTTTGAATCAAATGAAAGTTGGGATGTTTATGGATGTTTGGATACAGGTTCTTGTGATGTGGAAGACTTCTCATGGATTTCGGGGATGGATATGAGCGAATGGAGTGATGCCACGTGAGCATCTCAGGATAAGTCAATCTTAACATGATTCTTATGTTAATCATAATTGCTGTAACAATATATGAATCAAATCTTTTGACTTGGTATGCGTATAAATATGAATGTTTGGGTGTCAAATATATAGGAACATAAGAATCATGTGGTATAGATCTAAATGCCTCTTTAAAATCTTATGAAGTCCCATAGTCCAAGCATGGGGAGTTGCATGTATTCTTTTGGTATTGATGCATTTTTTTAATAAATTAAAATACAACAATTTAGTAGCAAGCTAATACCGAAAATGTAATCAAATCTATGTAGTTGCTTGGTTGGGTTTGAGGATTGGTAGTTCCATTATATTTTGCTCAATTGTTATCGTTCATTTATTGATTCTATTCCATATTTATTTAATTTTATTATTACTATATACTTAAAATATATCCATTTTACCTTCTATTAAAAATATATCTATTTTTTTATATATATTTAATAACAAATATATTCTATATCCATTTCATATTTTATCCATGTCTTATGCATTATGGACGCATCATAGATTAAAAACTTACAAAAGGATATTTATTTGACAATAAAGGCCCACTTTTCAACAGAAAGTGAAGGCCCTTTAGCGGCCTGCTGGTGTTAAATATAGAAGATATCTAAGTAGTGTAATTTTCAAGGATTAATTATATATAATTAACTAACATCAACATTTAACATTTACTTTTAACATAAATATTTTCAAAATGATCTTAAAAATCTTAACATCTTAGGGTCCGTTTGGGGCAGCTTGTACGTTTCAGGATAAACTGTTTATCCTGAGCCGCGGTCTGCGTTTAGTGTAAGAACTCAAACGCAGTTTTAGATAAGCTGGCGAAACGCGCGAACCAAACGGTACGACGGCGTTTCCGCACTTATAAGCTGCCTCAAACGGACCCTTAATTTAGTGTTCAAATCTAAATTTTCTTATAAATACATTTTTTATATTTTATTATTAAATCTTCAAAATAATTGTAAATGCCATCATATTTTTTTATTTAGTGTTCTACTTAAAACAAGAATTTTATGGGCACAAATCATTTCAAAAAATTAATAATGCTTTTAAAATCAATATAAATAAAAAAAATTATAAATTGAAACAATTCATTTATCATCGTCATGAAAGGTTTCAATTAATGTGATTGTGCTAATATGATTTCCTCTCTAATTTCTGTGTAATTATGCCTTGTGATTGACCTTATGCATTATTTAACAATAAAACTATAGTAAATTTAATATTTATTTTTATGACACATTAATCATTAATATCATAAGAATATACTACTAATATTATCTTTCTAAAGTGACATACATTTTTATACATATGTTACAATGCGATTGCAACTTTAATGTGTTATATAGTATATATCTGTTGAACCCAAATTTGTTTGTGAATCACACTCATGGATTAGAGCATGCTAAAAAGAGGGAAACGTACAGAAAGATATGAGAGATGAGGTATTTTCGTACATAGTTTCAACAGCCACTATTACATTTAATGCTTCTTGATTTATAGATGGCTATGAATAGTGTGAAATGATAATTAAGCGCCTGATCGACTCCTTATCATGAGATTGTTGAATATTTGGAGGATCATCCTCTTGGCGGTCGGCCTCTATTTGGTGGTCTCCGAGTTGGTCAATCTTTGGCTTGGCCGATCTATTGGTCAGCTTACACTTGCTCGACCACTAGATCAATCTCCGAACACAAATTCAGCCGCTCACTAGATCAGTTAGCCCTTGGTCGATTGCTAGACCGATCACCGACCCGGCTTTTTTATAACTTTGTTTATTTTCATAGAACACTATCTAATGACATGTGTTCCGCTCTGAGTCTTTCAATCTGCGGAAAACCTGATCAAGAATATTTTAATTGTACAATACCTGAGTTTATATATTTGAGATGCGGACGCATAACAAATATGTGAACATGAGCCAAACTTTAAGCCATTAAGGAAGGTTCCAATTTGATAGAAAAATGAAATGGAATGAGAGTTTCACTTATTCCTTTACATTGCATTTAATTTATGAGCTCCTCCTGCTTATTCTCTTAAAAGCTTATTTAATGAAACTGCTAAAATTTATATTGCAAGCAAGAATCAATATCAAATTAGGATTTCTTAATGAAATATCATGCAATTAACATAGGACAAAATAATTATCATCTATGCCCTTTCAAAATTAGTTGGGCAAGATATGCAACATGATATTTGGAAATCCTTTATTTTCCACTAAGGCTGTCAAAACGACTTGTTGTTTGCGAACAGCTCGTGTTGAGCTCGTTAAGAAGCTCTTGTTCGGCTCGTTCGCTAAGTTAACGAGCTGAACACGAACAATAAGAATAAATATTTGTTCGTTCGTGTTCGGCTCGTTTTGACTCTAAATACTACTAATCAATTATATATATATATATATAGTATTTTTAAAAAAATTAATTGACTATAAAGCTACAAAGATTTATAATCAATTAAAAGTATTAATGAAGGAAATAAAATAAAAAAATATTAAATTATATTCAAACGATGTTTTAAATATTGTCTTAATCCTTAACTTCTTATGGCTACGTGATTAGGGTTGTCAAAACGACTCTTTATTCGTGAGCGGCTCCCCTAACAAAACAAACCG